TAAAATTCGGATTGCTTCGTTATAAGGCAGAATTTGACGTGTGCAACGTCGTCGACCAAGATACCACTTAAATCCTCCTCAGCACCGGATGAATGTGTCATTTAATTACCTTATGGTAAGTTGAAGGAGCTTCCTATAAGATACGTTGACATTACGCAGGAATATCGGCTGCGTTAGGTCACTCGCGATGAGCTTAGCGACCGAAAGCACTCACGATTGCTAAGATGAATGCAGCGAAACGTTAAAAACCAATAGCTTTTCTTGTGACACTTACGTCTATAAGTTCAGGCGGTTTCGGCATTTTTGTAAGGAAACCTTGAAGAATGAAGGAAAAATTTGCTAAGAACATCATGGCGTTCAATTTATTTTAGACCAAATCATTTCTACTCATAAAAGACATGAATAATTGAGACAGTTATCCAGGTGGAGACTTCTCATTGCAATTAAGAATAAAGGCCTGCTTGCTCGTGTGTTTCCTAGGGTTGCGTGAATATCAGGGTCAAGGATCTTATGTGCATGAAGGCCGACACGTCCCCTGGACTCAATCTCAACATGGGACACCTGGTTAAATAATCTGTATTTATAGAGCTCAGACGAATAGAAAAATCAGCGAGTAGCCAGGCTATCTGTTAAGCTGCATCAGAAAATTTTAGTTTCCCAGTTCGAGCTATGGACCACATCCTCACTCACTGGAACCTTTGTCGAGCATACCATTCAGTCAAGACCAAGCTTCAACCCGTGTTCTTTCAATCAGAGAGTTCCATTAGTTGTGTCTCTCATCCTTTCCCATTTTTGTTAAAAGTATTATGCTGTGTGAACTGAGTGATGAAAAAACTAAAACGATAGCTGAAATAGGTAGACACTACCCGGATCCTTGAAAAAAGGTGTTTTTCCTCTTGATTGCTCTTTCATTTAGGTTGTCCCACTCGATGATATGAACGAGATCACCTGTCACATCTTGGAGACCATCTACGCTAGAATGTTGCAAGCGAAGACAAAAACTTCGGGCACTGACTCTATGATGCGCTCCACTGGAGACGTATTAGTCCCTACAACTATTGGTGGACTAACAGTACTTCAAAATCAGGTTCTCGTCAGTGTACGCACTTATCCGGATGAGAGAGGCATATCAGTTGCGCAGATCTGTGAGAAGTTGCGCGGCGTTCCGGAGCAACAAATTAGGTAAGCCGGCTAGCTCATAACGAACACTTCAAATACTTCGACCTAACTGACCACCTGGTTGAGAAGTTCGAGCTCTGTGCTTCATGGATTGACGATCTCCTGAAGTATTTTTTCCTTTTATATTTCCTGGTATTAGTCAGTGACATCAATCGAAAAAACATTTTCGAGGCTATTTTTGTCCTAGCCTTCATTTCTTGATAAGATTTAATAGCGCCATTTGCCATTGCAAATAGTGTGTACTAGGAAATGTTTCCTATGATATTTGCCGAATTTTGATGCCTCGAATTGCGTGCTTTCGTATCCATTCATATCGGGGACACCTAGTTCACTCAAATTAGGCGCCTGAGAAGTCCGCTTATTATCAACAGTAAATTCATTGAACCCTTTCGTCCCATATCTTTTCTTAAGTCCAAGCTATGAACACAGATTTTTCCGGTGTGGCAGGAGACTGTTTAAACTTGTGTATTTCCTGCTGGGTGCACAGAACTCACACTGTTCACTTCTTTAACGAGAGCATTCGTTCTATGTGCGAATACTTGCAATTATTCGCTTAGGGAGCCGAGTACTCCCAACTTGGGTTGGCGATATGACTGACCTCGCACATCGAAGTGGCCATTCCATTTTCCATTGTCTTATCATTAACACTTAAAATACGCTTTACCATCCACAATGTGCGCTTTATTGTTTTGTGTGATTCGACTATCCCGTAGTCATCTGTCGTTGTAGTGACCCCCATTGCGAAAACTACTTCGGCGTTTTAAGTGACACCGCGACAAAATTTTACGTTTAGTCTAATTCTCAGATTTTGTATTGCACAATTTTCCCGGTTTTTAGTCGTTTTGTCAGTCTAAGATTTCGCATCGGCAGCTCTGTGACACTAACTGCTACCTCCTAAAAGCGCCAGACATCGTGTTGGTAGTTGTTATTCTGTAAATGATTGAGCTGACAACGTTTTACGAACCGTGATTTCCTCCTTACAAATAATTTTGCTTGCTGCAAACGTAATAATGTCTGGCTTTGATGTCGTAAATTTACCTCTCCAAGCGTGATGATTCGCGATGGCGGATCTGGAGAGCCCCATTACAGTGTCGTATACGGACTTTGTGACATCTTATAAGGCCGTCGGTCTGCCAGAGCTGAGGCCTCCTCACTCTGATAACACTACCATTGCTGGTCCGCGACCCTATAGTCCGTTTATTTTGTAGGTAACCTTCGCTGAAGGTCTGTGTATGTGTGCGCGCGCCAGGTAGCCGACAGCTAGGTTCTAGTGGGTTACCCATTTTTGACTGTTAAGGTCGTAATGGCTCAGGCCGGCGCTCACGCCGCTTAAAACACACTCTACCATATACCACTACATGAACAAGATTTCTAAGAAAGACGGTAACTCGGATCTCATATAAATGAGTGTTACGAAGGCAACATCAGGGAACAACTGCACCCTAGCCCCCAACCCGTAGTGGTACCGAGGTATCTGATCACCTGACATCGCACCCGCGGCTGTTATCCCCTTGTGAAACAGCATGTTGAGTTGTTTATAGTTGGCTGAGCTGAGCGCTCGATTCGTGTTGATTTAGCCTCACCGGATGAAGGCGGGTTACCCGGGAAAGAAGGGTTACCCGT